ACAGCTAACTCCAGGAAGAATTCTTGTTGCGAGCCTTCCCTCTGAATTTTTTTCTTTTTTAAAACAGGCTTTTCCTACTCATGTATGAGAAAATCTTTTTTTTCAGGCTTTGAGATCATAGTTGCTTGATTAATTATCTACTAATTCTGGGTTTTAATTCTTCACCTCCTTATAACTTCCTGGTCCTTGTTCCATGTTCTTTCCCCTTGGCAACCTTCTAGAAGCTTCAATTTCCAGTAACTTTGAGGCATCTGTAGATTACCCTTGTTTTAATCAGTGAGCACCAAAAGGGGAAATCCCAAGCTTGACAGCAATATTTTAGACCATTGTCCTGATAATTTTCCAAAGCTTTGCATACAGAAATATGTAAGGTTGCTCTTTCTCTTCCTCTTTTTGCTCTTCTTAATTCCTAATTCTTAATTGATGGAAAATATCTGAGTGAGAAAAATGTGAAAAATATGAATGCTAGCAGGAGGGATCACTGATGCACCAATTAGTACTTCCACTTTACAGAAGACAGGAAATTGCAGTTTAGAAAGATTTGGAAAGCAAGCCAGGTGGTACATGCTTGTAATCCCAGCATTCCAGGAGACTGAAGCAGGAGGACCATAATTTTGGGCCCAGTGGGACAGTTTAGTACCTTACTTAGGGAGAACTTGTCTCAACATGAAAAATTTAAAAGGGCAGTGGATGTAGCTCAGGTCAAAGTTTACTCCCCCAAACTTTGAGGAAAAAAAAAAAAAAAGATTGGGGAATTAGGCGATCAACTCTGAGACAGAACTCAATTGACAGAACCCGGAGAAGAGCAGCTACTATCGCGAGAGTACAGCCAGATCCCGCGTGAGTTTCACAGCACTTCTCAACCTTGCACACCTAGCAGCTCGGGATCAGAGTTTGCAGGAGCAGGGAGAAGCTCTGCTGGGTGTCTGGGAGCCACCTTGAGCGGCCGTGGCCTGTCTGTTTCAAAATGATGAATTAAGTTTAATGAACATTCGCTCCTTAGACATCTCTCCTTATTAAGTATTTTGCATGATTTTTATTACTGGCTAAGAATCTTAAGTTCTTCCCTCATTTTTTTCTTGCAAAGGAGGAGTTCAATATTTCATCTGTTCTCATTTATTGTTAATGCGCTTTTCCAATTCACTTATTAGAAGACTCATTTTTTCTTTTGTGGCTTATCTTTTTCTCCAAAGTGTTTATAAAATCCTCTCCAGTTCCTTTACCATTTACAAAAACCATCCTTTCTCTCTGTGTCTTTTTAAAAAAAATCACTGGAGACTATTTCGTTTGTTCACTAGTTGAGAAATAATAAAATTTTCTCCTTTGTTCTGATCCTTTACTTTTTCATTACTAAACTTCTTTGAACTTACCTTCTAACACTGTCTGTTGAAAACATAAAGTTTTTATTTTCGGCCTGTCTGCACAGGGTGGGACTACAGATCCATTTAGTGTATTAGTATAAGCTTTTATTAAGCATCTACTAGCGAATGCATGGCACGAGACTACAACGATGTAAGATACACAAGGAGCAACCTCAAGACAAGGGGTGATTGAAAATTATGCTGAATATTGTTTAAAATGTTTATTATAATTAGAGACATCACCATGAATCCCTCTCAAAATTCTCTCCCTCACTTTGGACCCACTCATCCCACAGTTCTTGGCACTTTCTGCAGAAGCTCTGGAGTCCTCTTCCTGAGGGTCTTTATGAGGGGTAATAAAAACACAATGAATACTGCCACCCAGCACCTTCCATCAGAAGAAGCAGCTTGTGGAAGCATGGTGCCGTGTGCTTATCCTCCTCAGTCACTGGCACCGTGTGACTCCCGGCTCTTCCCTAAAGCCACAATGACCGTGAAAGGGAAATGTTTTGAATCCACTCAGGACATTGAGGCAGTCAGAAAAGCACAGCTAAAGACCCTTGGGAAAGAGGACTTCATCTCTGCTGCAGAAAGCGGCAAGAATGATGAAATGAACATGTTCAAAGCCAGTGGAACATTCTGAGATGGATTCATGGCAACGTGTCTCTTACTGCAATAAAATTTTAAAAGTTTAAACACACACTATGTTTTTCAAATCAAAACCACATGCACCCATGTGGTCACTGTGATTCCAATTGTGTTTGTTAATACATAATCCTGGGGTTACAAAGATGGACAAGAGATCAGCCGTGTCTCTGCTGAAGCCCTGGCAGGTGACTTTTCATCATGAAATGTTCAGATTCCTGAAATGGACCTGCAGGCTGTCAGTTCCCGGATCCCTGTCCTCCTGAGCCCTGTACCCTTGGTAACCACTTTCAGGGCCGTGGCTGGGAGATGACAGACAGCGCTGAGACTCAGGCCCAAGCTTCTGGATGTAGTAGACGTGGAATGGATTCTCTCCTTTCTCTGATGCAGTGGCTTCTCCTCCTCTGTCGTCTTCTATTCATTTTCCTCCAGAGTTCTTTTCTTTTTCTGGGCTACTTCCTGCCCACATTCATACTTTGCTCTTGTGCTTGTTTTTGTATTTGTTTTGTATTTGTATGAGTTATCGTATCGGTCAAAAAATTTCTGACATGAAGTTCTTGAGAATGGGACTTCATTTTGTTTTGATCTGTATCCTTCACTGCCCAATTCACCATTCAGAAAATTTTCTCAAATTAGTCAGGATAGTTGGCATAACATAATAATAAAGCTATTATTTTAAGAGGAATAATCAACTGACTTCAGAGAAAAATAATTCTTTATAGTTGCAGAGATTCGTGGAGAGTTCTGGAGGGTCTTGCTCTTGTGTCAAATCATGAAGGATGATGTCTTAATTACTTCCTTGATAGTGGTACAACCCATAAGTTAAAGGAAGAAAGGTTCATTTTGGCTTATAGAGATTTCATCCGTATTTGATTGACTCCAAGGCAGTGAGGCTTGTCTGAGGGGCATCACAGAGGAGAAACAGTCTATGAAAGAGCAGACAGGAAGTAAGCAGTGGCATCAGGGAGCCTCCCTTTCATTTTTTATTCTATCCAGGCTACAAACCTATTGGTTGATGCTACCCAACCCAGAATGGACCTTCCATTATCCACACACTGAACTATGCTAAACCAATCAGTGTAGCGATTTAGTTACCACACACCCTCACTCCGTACTCACACACCCATGCTCCATCTGTCTCCAAAGGTTCACCTTTGAGTACATGGAGCTTTGAGGAGACATCTAGATCCAAACCATGACACATGAGTAGGAATTGGGGAAACCTTTATGAGTTGGGTATGTCACACGCAGGAAGAACTTGTACAAAAAGGCAAAAGAAAGAAAAATTAGAGGTTTTTTTTTTTTTTAGTGGGGCATAGCATAGTGATCCTTTTCATGTGGCTGTCCCAGGCATCTTTAGTGAGAAAACAGATGTTATCATGCGTACATTTATTTCTTCTTTCTTCAAATACTTGCTGCATGTTCCTCTGTGTCTTGCAGTGGAGCTGAAGAGTGGCAGGGGCCATCAGTGTTACAACGATAAAGAAACTGAGGGCCAATGGGAATGAGTGGGAGGTCCTTTCCCTAGAAATTGACTAGACTCATAAAAACTCTGTGACTTCAACTTTGCCTCTGAACTCTCAATTCTGTTTTTTTTTTCTACCAACAAATTTTTGGTGAAATTGAGGATTGAATACAGAGCCAAGTCTTATTTTTTTAAATTTATTTTGAGGCAGGTTCTTGTTAAACCACTAAGTTGCCTAGACTGGGCTCAAACTTGTGGGATCCTCCTCCCTCAGTCTCCCCAGTACTGGGAGTACCCTGAGTTATTGCATCCAGCCTTTACCAGTAGTTTTAAGTGTTGCCTTGCTCTAGAATTCTCCCCCTTTCTTCTGTAACTCTCTCCTGGGGGCATCTAGCTGTGATCACTGACACCTTGGGAAGGATTCTACCCCTTGGGTCCTTGTAAACCTGCTTCGACTCTGTGCAGTGAAGTGTGTCCCTCAGAACCCAATATTCAGATGAGAGGGCCACAGACTTGAAGTGAGTCTTCATCCCCAGACCCCTGAATTCACAGGCTCTAGGTGGCTTCTCCTCCAGAGTGAACCTTGGCCTGGTTCCTGGTGTGTTCTCACTTCTCAAAGGGCCCTAGATGCATGGCAAACAGGCGCCCAGTTGTTTTGCAAACAACTTCCCCATTCTAAGTGAAGTTGGTGATCACATTGAGGCTTATTCACTCCTATAATACTGGGTGGTAAAAACCACTTCAAGCTCACAAATGAACCGTCAGAGCAGTTGCTGGTTAACTGGGTGTGGAGAATTGTCTCCCCAGGAAGGCTGCACCACCTCAGTCTCAAGTGTTGTAAGGGTAGAGGCTGCCAGTGCATTAGCCACCTGCTCATTTAACCCTTCTCAATTTTATTGGACTAAGTGTTAAAAAAGAACTCTTAAGTACCATTATTTATGTGTTCAGTTAGTTATGTGATATTTTTTCCCATGATACTAAGGACTGAACCCAGAGGCTTCACACTGAGCTACATCCTCAGCTGTTTTCACAATTTTCTTTCATTTTGAGACAAGTTCTAAGTCATTCAGTTGCTAGGGCTGGGCTTGAACTTGCCCCAGCCTTTTAAATTTACTTAGTGAAAATATCCTTTGAGTAAAGTAAGTGACTCTTGGCCACCAGCTGTCTGGACTATTGGACTCCCTTGGTTCTGGGCTGGACCTGGGACTACTCTGCTGTGGACCGTGGAGGAAATAGCATTCCTGCGCCTGGAGCCCAGGCACTAATAAGCTGGAAGCTTTTGCCTCTTCTCTCCTGGGACATCTGCCTTTTGGAAGATTTGAGCCATCCCTTAAGAAGTGTAGCTTGTTTGCTGGAGAGACCCAGTGGGGAGCAGGGAGCAGAGGTTTGGAGGGCGGGGGGAGAAAAAGAGCGAGAGCGAGAGAGAGAGAGAGAGAGAGAGAGAGAGAGAGAGAGAGAGAGAGATATCCACCTCAGCCACCGTGTGAAACACATGAGTCTTTTTTTTTTGGTCTTTTTCGTTTTTATAGGTACCGGGGATCGAACTCATCGAACTCACGACTGGCTGCTTGCAAGGCAGGCGCTTATGCCGCTGAGCTAAATCCCCAGCCCCCAAAACACATGAGTCTTCAGAAGCCCCAGAGAACTTCCCAGTTGAGCTCCAACTGCAGTACCTTGAGTGACCGCTCTATAGCTGAAATGCTCAGCTTTTCAGGAAAAAAAAAAAACACCACCTCATGTCTAGAACTCTGTCGCCCTCAGCTGTCTGCCACGTTTTGCCCGGTCTATGGTAAGATGAACACCCATGGAGACTGACACCCAAGCACCTCCTGGGCCTTCCTAGGAAAAGTGACTCCTGTCCCTTAGAAACAAGACTCTTACTGCTTCCTCCTCCAGGAAGAGAGGGACTTTATTGTACTTTTCTCGAGACCTACGGGTGTACAGTGGCATTTAACCACCTGTTTGAACTCTCACAGCATCAATAAGAAGCCAGGCTTTCTTATCTCTGGTTTATGGAAAGCTGGCAAAGGTTAATGAAATAATCCAAGATCACCAAGTTGCTAGGCCACAGGAGAGTCTTTGAGACTCCGTTCATTTGATTCTAAATCCAGACACACATCTCATCAGCTCAGAACTCCTGCTGGCCTGGAGGCAGCAGCCTTTCCTTCAGTGCTGCGTCTGCTCCCCATCTGGCCTAGCCAGGGAGGCGTTGTTATTGAGCTTAGGGATGGTGATAAGAAACACATGACCTTGCTTTCCCTGCTGTCCCCCTGAAGTTGCCATCTCTTGGGAACCTGAAGACTCTTTCTAAGGCTGGTGGGGTGACCTTCTTGCTGCTCCTGTGACACGCTAGTAGGAGACATGGACTAAAACAGGAGCTGGTGAGCTCTGACACTGGTGCACCTTCCCCAGCCAGCGCCATCTGCTATCTTCTTTAAAAATGTGGAAATGTGTTTCTGAATTAGTGCTCCAGCAACAAAAATGAGTCTGAAGTGGTAGGATCATTAGAATAGGGTGGAGACAGGAGAGAGGGCAATCAATACTTGATTATAATCTCTCCCGAGGTTTTCAAAGGGATGGATATGGGAGAAGGGAAGCTTTTAAGGAGAAGGATGGTACATAAAAATGACTCCAGAAAATAACTGTTTTTACATTTTATGGGGAGAGAAAACACAGCATTCCTTTTAGTAGAGAGAAGTGATATTTAAATAATTTAGCCAACTTCTTTCCTTAGGGGACATGCAGAATAGCAGCATCTCCTCAACTCTCTAGAACAGGATCCATTTTTAGTTTCCTTAAAGAGAAAAGTGCTAAAATAAGAAAGGAAGAAAATGACCTGGTGAAAACTCTAAATCAGAATCAGAAGACCGGTGTGTGTCCTCCTGTGCCACCTGCTGGTTCTGTGACATCAAACAAGTTTCTTCTTCCTTCCCAGAGGTCTTTGCCTTCCCATGTGGAATGATGGGAAAGAGGAAACATTTTGGTTTGGGGCCCACAGTCATGGAATCCAAAGCTCTAGATACACAAGGACTCTGTCACTGCCATCAAGGTGCTCTGAGGTCCTTCCAGCAGCCAGAGTGACCTCCAAGTGGAATTGGAAACATCTGAGCTACAGGTTCTTCTTTGGAGTGCAGATTATGTAGTCAAATTTCACATGAATTTTACAAAAATTAGACCATTAGTGTTAAGTGGTTATAAATTGTCAGCAGAATCATGATTAGTGAAGGACAGTGATCACAGTTCACAGTGATCCATTCTTTGGGTGTTTAACACACACTCTCTCTCTAAAGTATTACTAGGGATTGAAGGACCTCACAATGAGGTACATCCCCAGCCTTTTATTAAATTTATTTGTTTTGAGACAAGTTCTTGCTTACTTTGCTAAATTTCCCAGACTGGGCTTAAATTTGGGATCCTCTTGCCTCAGTCTCCCAAAGTGCTGAGATTACAGGTTAGCTCACCTTCCGAAGATGGCACACCCTCACCCTGCTTCATGTCCTGAGCCCTCACCAAGGCCCTGTAGAGTTTGAAGGCAGCTGTGGTACCCACGCTCCCAATGCATAGAGATAGCAGTTGATACGCTTGTGTTGGTGGGCTGTTATTAACACATGAAATTTGAGTTAGCAGAGATGCTAAGAGAATTCTGCAGTGTTTTTCTCAGCAGCTAATTGGTTTGCTGTGCTCAGCCTGAGCTCCCAGCTAGATGCCTTGGAACCTCCCCCAGTACTCGAGGAGTCTTGATAAAGTGCTGGTGTGTAGGTGGGAGAATGACTAAGGGAACAATCAACTTGCTATGAGAAACAGAGCAAAACTGCTCTTGACTTTCAGGCAGTATATTACCAAATCTGAGAGGGGTTCACAACACACACAACTGGTTGGCAGTTAGGATATAACGACTCAATATTATTAATATACAGGCAGTACACAAGTGAGACAGGGTCTCTAACCCTTCTGGGGTGGGTTTTCTGACTGCCTCCTAAGAAAGCCTCCTTCTGAAAGCCTCCTAAGAAATCTGAACTGTGGACTGCTAAAGTTTCTACACAGGACCATTCCTGCAATTTATACCACCGTGTCAATGACTTTGTTTTTTCTCAGAATAATTTTGTGGATTTGTTCCTGGTTGCCTGGTACAGAAAAGCTGATTTTGTTATTCTTGTGTTTTAAACATTTAATGTCTTATCTAAATAATGTATTTACATAGTTGACAAACTGAAGTAGATTGGGGAGCCCGAGGCAGGAGGATTGCATGTTGGAGCTAATCCTGGGCAATTTAGCACCTTAATGAGATCCTGTCTCAAAATAAAATAAATGAAGAAAGGGCCCACAACTTAGCTCAGTGGGACGGTCCTGCATTCCATCTCCAGTATCACACACAAACGTAATGTAGGACAATAAATCTGACAGCAACAGCAGAAACCACAACAAAGCACAGCAAGGCTGTGCCCTGCTCCTCAGCACTCAGACATCTTGCTTCCTGGGATGAACCGCGCTCATTTGTGTGAGCTGCTTCTTTTGATGTTGACCGTGAGACCTCTGACTTTCTGTGTCTGCATTATTTCCCTTCACACGATAGTCTCAGAAGCACCTATTTCCCTGTAAATGGCAAGTAGCAGCCTCTTGCCTCCCTGATAATTCTAGGAGGGTGTAGAAAGGGCTGAGGCAGAGGAGGTAACGTTTCAGTTTCTAGGAGTCACAGGCAGCATTTGAGGCCCCAGGCCTCCTGCAGAACTGGATTCTGGGAGAGAATCATGGCTGCCACGGTGTGAGGGGACCAGAGTCCCAGGCTCGCCTGGGTGTCAGTACGGATGACACCCTTCTCTCCCTCTCACTCCACTTCTTTTCTTTTTAGTCTTTGTTTTTATGAGTATATTTTTTTGCCACATATAATGATCACATTCATCATGGAGAATCTGTATGTGTACATAATCTATCTTGAATTTTTCCCTGTTCCCTTGAACCCTTCTTTCCCTCTCCATTCTCAAAAGCTCTGTTTCCATTTATTTCCACAGGATGGACAGTATGAATTTCATAGGTAGTTCTGAAGATTGAGGGAAATTATGGAGAGTAAATAACCTGGCACAGTGTTTGCTTTCAGTCATCTCTGGTCTGTTCATTACCTTCCTTCAAAGTAGGACGTTCTTCTCTCCCTCCAGTCATCAAAAGGTTTCTTTAAGAGAAGTATTAGAAATTAAGCTACGATTCATGTTATCCAATTCCTTTAATTTTAGCAAAAATCAAACTTTTTAAAGTCCTTTTTTTCTTTGTGGTGCCGTGCATCAAACCCAGGGCCTTGCACATGCTAAGCTAGCACTTTACTACTGAGTTACACCCCAAGCCTTAAAGTTATTTCCTTTTGATTATTTCAGGTATATCAGTGTAGTGGGAAACATTTTCTCAATCAGTTCTGTTGAAGTTTAGAACAAGAACTCCTGGCCCCAACCCCAGCCCTCTGCTCTGAATACCTCTGCCCTTTCTTGTCTTTGTTCCAGTAGCCATGGAAAATTGACAGAAAATACAGGGCTGGTATATTTAAGCTAATAGCTGTTGCAGAATTATTCATGCTCTTCAGCTTCATATCTCTTTGGGAATAACTGGCAAGAAAGGAAATAGTGATTTTTTAGAAATTAGTAACCGTAATCCTTTCATTCTGAAAAAACAAAGGATTTTCTACTAATAATCTCTTTCACATAATAATGGGTAGTTTTGAAACTGAAGTGTAGAGCAATTTACACTGTGGTTTTTGTGCTTGCTATTCTAAGAGAATATGATTACCACTGCTATTAATAAGTTTTTAACTTCAGCAAAATAATTTGCAAATTCTTATAGATAATGCATAGGTAATGCCCTTATCAGCAAAAAGTGCTTAGTGTGGCTAAACAAAGTTAAAAACTGTGAAATATGCTGTATGCTAAGCATTATAATTTTCTTCTAAGACCATTTCCTGAGATTGAAATAGAATTTTTGCTGTGTGGAAGATATGGAAATTTATATCTTACATCATGATACATTTCACTTCCTTGGCTAAAAATCTTTCATTATCTCTTTTGCAAAATGAATCGTTGGACTCTGGAGAACAAAATCCTTGGAAACTAGGAACAAAGACTAAGTTCCTCTTTTCATAGTCCTCCCAGTGAGGGAAAATGAGCTTGAAAACATAGGTATCAGCATTTACAAAATTAGGGGAAGTCTTGTGGATGCTGTGTTAGAAGCGAACTCATGTTTTCTGTGAGTTGTTGAAGCAGCTAATTATTTCAGAGACATATTTTTAAATGACTTCACCTCATTTCAAGCACATACAATTTCACACATGTATGTGTACCAGGTTACACTTTATAAGTTAAAAACATTCAACAAATAGATTTGTGTGTATATGTACGATTATATGGTTTTCCTAGTGCAAAGACTTAAATTTATTGACTACCTGCTTTGTTCAGTGATTGGACGTGTGCGTTTTCCTTACAACCTATCCTGTGAGTCAATTTCTATTGTATCCAGTTCATAGATCAGGAGCCTCAGAAGGGCTGTGTAACATAGAGCAGTCTACACATCTAGCCATTGGGAAACAATTGTATTGTTTCCTAACAAAATTGGAAATGAGACTTGGGAAGGCTTTTAGGTCATGCTAATGCATCTGCTCCTCACGGCTCCATGTGTTTCGAACATGTGCATGGCTGGGTCTTTTCTTGGATATTAGGAATCATGAAATTGCATTCTGTGGGCCAGCGATGAAGACTCAATTATTTTCATGTTTGTGCTTCACGCAGTGACCGCCTGGGGTTTGCAGACTTTCACTTTGAAGTTTTATGTACTCACAGATCTATTGAATAGTTAGTGTCTTAGTCACTTTCTGGATGCTGAGACACGGGACCCAACACCCACAGCTAGGAGGAGAGGTTGATTTTGGGTTCATGGTTTCAGTGCATGGTCAGCTTGGTCCAAGGCAGAAGCGAGATGGAGGAGAGGCCTGGTGGAGGAAAAGGTGGTCACCCTATGGTGGTCAGGAAGCAGAGAGAGAAAGGAGGAGCTGGAAACAAGAACATACCCTTCCAGGTCAACCCCATGACCGCCTCCCACCGGCTCCTGCCTCCTGCAGCACAGTCAGCCCTGACCTCATCCAGGCTGGATCCACTGATGAGACAGTGCCCCATGGTCCATCACCCTCACACACCGGAGAATTTGGTGGGACATTTCCAATCTAAACCATAATGGTCAGTTTAGACAAAATTTCTAATTAGTGTATTTATGAAAAACATCAAAATCTCTTTTTTTTCCTAGTGTCAGTGTAAGTGGTGAATAAAGCCAGGGTTTGCTGGGTACCTTCCTGCAGAGTAGCAGGAAGAATCTGTGTGGCTTCAAACCTATGCCGTTATTCTTACCCCCACACATTGGAGCTTAAAAACCATCAAAACAGACGAGCAAATCCAGCTGCAAGGGCTTGACAGGATGAGGGATGAACCTCCCCTGAGAAGGATGTGCACAATCTCTCTTGGAGCAGCGAGAAGTGATGGTCCTTAACGGAACAGGTGGGATTTGAACCAGGGTAGAGAGATCAGAAGAAGCAGGGACTTGACAGAGGACCCCATCTGAGCTCTGGACTGATCAGCAAAGAGGAACCTTCTGCCTCTGGTGCATGCACACTGTAGCTACTCTTCTGATGACTGAAAACTGTATTTCCAGGTCTTCTCGACTTTTCCTGACATCTGACTTTAGGATTGTCTTTTTTTCACTTATGCCTTTACTGTCCTCTGTGAACCTGAAGACTGCTACATTTATCTGGCTCTCACTTTGAGAATGAAGTATGCTTTTTAATAACTCATAGTTGAGACTCCTTCTCCAAGACGAATGTCTTGAGCCTCCTGAAACCATCTTGTCTGACCCGCCTCAGCTTCCAGAACCATCTACCTGGATGCATGTTTTCAGAATGCTTCTCTCACTGGGTTCACTCTTGTCTGTCTAGAGCAAATGATGTGGCTGGAGAGAGACGGGTAATTTATGATCTCCGGTTAGACAATTCTTGGGAAAAACAATAGAAGACTGTAGGGCCAGCCAGGCAATAGGGCGCTGTGAGTGGCAGTTGAGAAACTGTCTGCGTTTTGGTTTTGCAGGCAAAGGGCTGCAATGGAGATTTCATTTTTATTGTAATTTAGAGTAAAAAAAGCTAAATATAAAAAAAAGGGGGCTAGGGATTTAGTTTAGTGGCATAAACGCCTGCCTGGCAAGTGCAAGGTCGTGAATTCAATCCCCGATACCACCCCAAAAAAAGGCTAAATATATTTAGAGAAAAAAGCAAAACAGAAAAAAGGGTACAAATAATACAGAATTTCAAAAAAAAGTAACACTAAGAAATGACTAGTAAAAAATAGTAAGAAATTGCTAGTTGATAAATTACATATTTTATCTTAGAAGTATTTGTTCAAGTTACAAAATCAAAGCATAAAAAATGGACAATCAAACAATGACAGCAGAAACCATTGTTTTTGATGAACTAACAAAAACTTAGTAGTTTGGCTATCTTGCACACTTAAACATACATGTAATTATATCCTAGCACTTTCTTTCCCTACAATATCTGTTATATATTATGGATCTTATTACTTTCAGTTTATTATTATTATTTTTATACTAGAGAGACAATACAATACTTATAAATATGAGTCTGATTTATTTCATTTATGAGGATAGTGTCAAGTTGCCTCCATTTACCCATAAAAGCCTCAAGATCCTCCTTTTTTATGGCTGAGTAATATTCTGAGTAGGGCAAAAAGGCAGTCAGTATGGAGGTGAGACAGTGTAGCAGGGCCACGTGGTGGTCTAGATAGGGACTAGAAGCTTGAATTGTGGGCAGTAAGTGGTAGATTCCAGAGATGGAAGCTACAATAGCTAAGACTTTATGATCAAGTGGGTGTCGGGAGTAAGGGAGAGCAAATGGCCCAGTTCTCAGTCTCCCAGCAGAGGCTTCCTGTCAGAGGGGCTCTACATCACAGCCCTCTCTGCCTCCTGCCTCTCCGATGCTTCTTCCCACTACCATTTTGGGAAGCAAGGAACATTCTAGAATATCTGTCATCTCAACTAATATGTCAATCCAGAATACTTCACTCAAAAAGGATTATGAAATTTCATGAGGTTTAAATAAATCTGCTGTGGCTGATTCTTTTTCCTGCCAATCAATTTGAGAAGATTAAATTTCTTTTGAGATATTGTTTGTCTACCTGGATTTCACTCCTAGGAAAACAAGGCCCTAACATTTTTATATTTTAGGTAACTGCAGGTTTTCAGGATATGCTGACCTTGTAATGATTTAAATTTGTATGAAACAGGAAAATGACCCCTTCAACCTCAAGAAATGAACAAGCATTAATGTGCATCCACCTTGAGGTTCTATTAAGCGTTCATCCCTGTTTTTCCTGACTTTCTCCGTTTTGTTGACCAGTGGGGCCCTTGGCCGCCAGCCCCAGGTTCTGGAGCTGGTCTCAGGCAGTGGGAGCCATGAGCTGTGATAGACCAGGCGATGCCAGCTTGGCACAGGGCAAAGCTGACCTGCACTGGGCCACCGGATCCCACACCCGCTCTGTTTCTTCTCAGCCTTTCCTTTTCTGCAGAGCAAACTCTGCAAAGCCAATCACTGGTTCTCACGGTCTGTCACCTCCATGCACCCCCTGTTCCTCACCAGGCTGGTTTCTGTTCCACCACTTCTAAAAGTGGCTTAAGTTAGGATCACCAAACCCCCAAGCTAGGGTGCGAAGTGTTCTTACATCTCTGGACTTGGCCATGGCCTCCCAGAGTCCTTGGGCTCTTCCCAGAATGCATTCTTCTCATCCCCTCTCTCCTCCTTTCCTGCTTTCTAGTGCACAGATGCTTCTTTTCTGCCCGATTTCTACAGGCTCTGGGCACTTGTGGGCACTTTTCTCCCACACTGCAAATTTCTCTCTGGAGTCCCCCACACACCATAGGTCTTTAAATCCCCACTGTGTGCTGATGAATTCAGATCCATGTCTTCAGCCCTACAAGCACACTCAGTGCCACCCTGGTCAACGCTACTGCCTGGATGTGGAGTAGACATGAATTTTACTTCCTCAATCAGATGTCTATCTGTCTCTTCTGGTTTTTCTGTCTTGGGAAAGGAAAATTATGTTCCCTTTACTACTAGACCAAATCCTGAGGTGTTGCT